TTTTTAGCTTCTAGTGCTAAAGAGATCTTCAGGTGAAGTGCTGGTCATGACAGTTGTTTGCTATAGCCTCAGCTTTGTGAAGAAGCAAGGCATTTTTCTTATTGTACGCAATGAAAGCAGCAACTGTAGAGCGATACAAATATTTACAACAAGGGGACAAAGATTCGTATGGTGGGATGTAAAGAAAAAATATTGCTGTTTACTGTACATTCCTGGTGTCAGTGTATAATCCCTTTAGATGCTTTGCAGTTATACCATGCATTGCACAAAGCTGGTGCCAATAGTGTTAATGGCTAGGCTCGATTCTTCTATAGAGCTTACACAACATGGTCAGTGAAGCAGGGTTGTATGTAAGGTGTGTGCGATCACCACAGCCTTGTATGGAAAGGGGGGTTCTCACACTCAAGGCTGTCTATTCTTTGACCAGCGATTCTGAATGCGCCCTGTCTTTCTTACAGGTGCAAGGGGGCCTCTCTTACCCCTCTCCTCCTCCAGCTCTTTTGTGACTGAGTGATGTGTGTATGTCTGATATTGTAGAAGTGTGGGTGTGCGAGTGTGTGTTTTTCTACGCCTGGTATTGTCCTAGAGGTGCAAGGGAGGTGCATGAGTGCGTGCATGTGTGTGTGCCAGACCTCATTGTGTTGAAGTGGAGTAGACGACGTGTGTTTATGTGAGTGAGGAGTGACTGTAGTGTAGTGAAGTGGCGGAGTGAGTATGCAATTTGGCTTGGATTTGGATATATAGACGCTGTGCTTGTGTGCGTGTTAGCAAGTGCGTGGGCATACCCACATGTGCGCATGCTCCGTCTCCACTCCATCTTGTCCGTCTTGTCTTTGGCAAGGTTGTCTGTGCTGACCCTTGCCCAGGCATCATGGTGTGTGTGTGTGTGTGTGCGTGTGTGCGTCAGTGTGTTTGCACCAGTGTGTTTGTGTGCGAGTGCTTGTGCATGTGTGAGTGCACGTATATGCATGCGTGTAGTGCCTCCTCTAATGCACAGTCTTTGTGGGGGCCTCTCTTTTCAGCCATGCTGCTTTTGAGACACATTGTGCCTGGGCATAGAAACAAAAGCTCTCCATTGCCCCTCAATAGGCCAAAAACAAAACCGTGTCAGGCGAGCTAGCAGCCCCCGAGTGTTTGCCATTTAAGTCCCAACCAATGGTGGTGCAGATGGAACAAAAGGCCTGGACAGGGAAGGAGGCCTGCACTGTTTACAGTGTTAATGTCCGGGTGGCACTCCCAACAAGGCCCTTCCATACACATACATGTGGGTGCACACTCAGTCACTCAATCTGTTTCTTTCGATGTCTCTCTCTCTGTCACATGCACACACTGAATCAACAGGTACATGTGCAGACCTTGTGCCGTTTAGAAACAAAAACTGCCTGTTAATCTTGGGCATACTAGAGTGAACTTTTGTATCCAAAATAATGAAGCATGGGGTTGTCAATAGAAACAAGACAGGAATTGTTTAAAAGGAGAGGAATAGCAAAAGTTGTGTGTGCATCTGGTCACAGACGTTGGATGTTTTATTTTCTCACAATTAAATGTTTCTTGGTGTTTTAGTTATGAGGGAATAGTAAATTCAGACTATAATCTCAGAAAGCTTGCTTTTAACCAATTAATAGATTTTATTTATTTCACTGTATAGTTTTTTTTTATTTTATTTCTTGATTGTTGTTTTCTTTTAAGTCATGTATAGAAGAATAAGCCACAATTTTATGATTTAACTTTAACTTCTTACATATAAGGAGAAACAGATTCAATCACTGTGTTTTTCACAAACTGATCTATGAATGTAAGTGGCCAATTAATCTTACCAGTTGTTGTTTTGGAAGTACAGATGTACATGTACCTCATATCCTGTGTCTATCCTGACACAAGGCTGAGACAAATTCCAAACAACTTCTTTTCACCTGCTCCAGATACACAGTGCTAACTTGAATTTTTCATTTTAGTATGTTAATACGCTTTTTACATTTATATCGCTGCTATTTCATGTCATTGTCATACATGAGTAAATCAGAAAAAAATGCCACTAAAGTATTTGTTAAATGCCACACACAGTTGTCTTATCTTTTATTCCAAAGTGTCTCAACCCATTTCAGTAGAGCTGAGTAAAACAACTGACATTGAGAGGCGATGGAGAAGCGAGGGCATGTTTGGGCTTTCGATTTTTACTGAAGAGGAGAGGGGAGAGTCTGACACTGGTATCAAATAGCCTGCACAGTCCTTGGACCAGGGTTATCTTGTAAATACTCTGTTCCAAGTCTATAAAAGCGGGGGTCCTTTATGACGGCCAAGGCCACTCATTCACTTTAAAATAAAAAAAGCACTCAGTGCAGTCTCGGTGTCTGGGCAGGGAGGCAGCAAGTAGGGAGGGACAGATGAAGGGATTTAACTGAAGGAGAAAGAAGCAGCAATAAGAAACACAGTCCTTGTTGTCACAAGTTTCTTTCTCCATGGAACTGTTATATAGAATGTAAAGTAGCTTAGGTTGGGTGATGATTTCAACCAGTTATTGTGATATCCTCCTCTCTCTGGGCTTTCGCTCAATTTTGTTTCTCTACGTCTCTCTTCTGTTTGTATTTTATTCTAAGTAAATACAGAGTCCCCTCAGCGGCCCCTGTAGCTAGTGATTCAGGTTCCTCATCTCTGGATGTGTAATGAGTTCTGCCTTGTTTTTGTCTAACAACAACACTCAATAATAAGCAAAGTAATTAAAAGCAGTATGGGGGGTGTGTGGGGGGGTGCAGACCCCACTTACCAACAAGCATTAAAAATGAATTTCATTCAAGAGGCAACAGTGGTATTACTGGTTTGATGGAATGAGCTCTGTTTTGAGTAATTTTTTTTGTTTGTTTCATGTGTTGTTGTTTTTTTTTTTTCCCGCATTTGATAAATGTGTCTCTCCTGCTCCCATAAACCTGTGAAGGCTTAGTCCCATGTTAGTTTCATTTAAAATGAAGACACAAAGCGTAGACGAAGTCTGATTATACCTGTGTTACGCTGTGGGTTTGATGTGGATGTCTTCTCCCTGAGTGGCGTTTGAGGAGTGGTGTGAGGGATGGGTGGGAGGGTAAATTCTAATTTAATTAAATTTTTGACTGAAGACAACATCTCCATGTTTTGTTAGCGAGGACAAGGTTGCTCTGGCAGTGTGGCTGACCACCTGTCACCTGCCTGGTCTCTCTTTGACCTCGTCTCCAGTGGCAACGTGTCGCGCCCCCTTCGACAGACAGCCATGTGGGACAAAATGACATTCTTGACCTTTACGCATGTCGGCAAGCAAGGTGACAACACGCTTAGCTGACTGTATGTGCGTGTGCACATAGGAATTAATACGCGCAAACACACAGTCTATACACACACACTGTGCACATACTGTCGCACACACCACAGAAGATCTTCTAATATCAGAGAGCGTCAGGGGCGGAAATCCGATCGTCTGACAACCAGGATACAGATAGCGATTCTCCACCGCTGATTCATGCAACAGATAGTTTCCACAAACAGCAGCCTGGCTAAGGTTACAACCAGCCAAGGCCCGCACCACAATGCACTGTTCTGCCTCGCATCGAGATAAAACAAAAGCTTAGGTTACCGACGATAGGAAATTGATAAGATAATGCATTGTTTGTGTTTTTTTGATGAAAACTCTGACAAGAGGAAATGAGAAAATGTTTGCTCCTGCGTGCAATAATATCATGTATATTAGTCCTGTTAGGTATTCTGTTTTTGTAATTTTTTCTTCATGATTATATCATTGTTCATCTCCTTTTTTAATTGAAGCTCATTAAATGTTTAACCCAAATGTCAGTATATTTGATTAAGCACTCATAATTGTTTAAAGAAATTCAATTCACACAAAGAAAAGTATCATCACTTTGCATTCCCCTTGCTTCAAAGTGCTCTTAATAATTTGAATATGTATTTATATTATAAATGAAGTAAAGAGATATGGCCCCCTTCACATCAATGTAATTATGAATCACAAAAAAAAGAGTTTGATTCAAATAAAATAGGCCATTTGTACACAAGCAATTAACTGGTGCGGCTTTAAATAATGTAGCCCAGATGGAACCTAATTATAGTCGGCATGCTTTGATTCGCGCTTCTTGTCGGAGTATCACTCGGGGCGTCACTTTGGCTTTTCAGTCACCTAGCGTTTGTTTTGAAATTTGTGACAATCAGAGCCGATTACCATTTGTAACAGCATGCAGCGTTTGGTGCAGAGGGAAGAAAGCATGGCCCATAGCTATGGAGGAGTTTCCTTGTTTCCCGCTCAAAACTCTCCTCCTCTGTTCCCGTACCTCACTGCACACAAATGTTAACAACTGTGTATGTGTGCTTGGGGCAGGTGAATGTGAAAATATATGTGCGAGTGGGTTCCATCCATGAGCAGACACTTGCAAGTGATGAATGTGCTTGTGTGTGTGTGTGTGTGTGTGTGTGTGTGTGTGTGTGTGTCAGCATCTTGTAGCAGTGTAGAGTCAGAGGGAGATCAAACAGTCAGTCAATTACCTTGAGAGGGCTCCAGTGGCTGTGACAGAGAGGAGGAGGCTAAATATCCCAGATCAAATACTCTGCTCTGCCTGTCACATAATGAGGCAGCCTCACCAGGCTCAGACAACACACACAGAATGGTCAAGCACAGGGCACGGGTCAGGCGCCGCATTGAAACTGTGCCATGACCTGCGCAAAGAGCACATGAGGGAGCCCTCACCACAGACCATGTTTCTGTACCGACTCTTTCCTGCCTTGGAGTGAAACATCATCATGGAGCTGCGTGCATGCGTGTTGTCTTACCTGTAGGTCAGCCGTCATATTTATAACTATTCCTTGTAGGAATAATCTCTGTTAAGTTAGCAATTGCCCGGTGCTAATTACAAACTCACTGTGAAAGCAAAGAGAATTTTCTCTGTATTCCCCATGACAATACCCAATGTTATGGAGCTCAGCACTAACATAATTATTGTATTTACAATAAATGAGGACAATAATGTCTTTAGAATAAACTTTATTAGATTAATGCAATTACAATAAACTGTTAAAATTAGCATCTTAATTGTTTTATAGTTAATGCAATAAGGCACACATAAACACACAGGGTACTTTATTGTTAAAGTTCATCAATTAAATACAAGATACAAGTTATAATTAAAATCATGAAAACAGAAAAGCTCTTGGTCCATTACATCTTTTGCCAATACATGAAATCAATTGCCCATAAAAAAATCTGCTTAACAGTTTAAAAAAAACTTTTTTTCAGCAACGGGCTAAAATTGAGGATAAAGTAGTATTGGCTGTTTATGGGTTCACTTTACACACCAGATACAGCCAGATGACACCTCATCGATTCCCACATCTTTTAAAGATATTACTTTGATTTGTGGCATAGCTGATGTAATTCTCTCTCTTCTTCTCTTCCCTCTCTCTCTGTCTGATCACTGGGGTTCCTCCTTTAAATCAGTGGTCACATCTCAGCTTTGACAACATCCATTAGGTTCAACACACTTTGGCTATTAAATGAAGAGTGGACATAAGTTGTTAAAGGAGTGTTTAAGTCTGCATGAGAGCGACTTTATGTCTCTATGCGTGTGAGTGTTGTCTGGGGGAGTGGACTTAGTTTCAAAAGCTTCACCATATAGAGGGGTGGAGCTTAACACCAGAGTCATTGGAGGGGCACAGGCTCATCTGCATATTGGCACAGAGACACCCCCCTGGTGACCCTGAACTGCGATGGGATAGGGTGGAGAAGCTGGCGGCATTCCGGAGGAGTTCATCGCCAGTTCAGGGTGAACGAGAGAGTGCTGCGGCATTGATCGCTTCTGCAGGAGAAAAAAAAAAAAAAAGGACAAAACAGAAGTAAAAACACTAGTGAGGGAGAGACCAATGAGACAGGGAAAATAGAGGAGGTGGAAAAAGATCACAGTGCCTCAAATTGGATATAAATGATAGATTAGAGGTGTGAGAGGGCTGTGTCTTTGTTTCCAGGGATGGGTGTTATGATGAGCCCTACACAGGTAGCAGAGTCACTGAGAGTGCTGGGTTATTGACTACCATGATTGCCAGGCCAGTAAATTTGACCCAAGGCACTGGCTGCCGTCTGCTTGCTATATAGCGCGCGGTGCAGTCCCTTATCACAGGGTGATCGAGAACCCCCTTACATACTTGTACACACAAATTCCACACACACAAACAAAACACACCACCAGCAACTGAACCCAAATCCATTCTTAGCCCAAGACGCCACACTTGCCCCCAGTCTTACAGTCATACACATAAACACACACACATGCAGCCACACCATCTCCATTAATGCGTCCAGGCAGGGGTCAATCTAATAAACATGGGGTCAGTGCAGTGGTCATCAGAGGCCTGTCTATGGTGAGAGAGCCTTTAACGTGCTTCCTAATTGTATCCCTGCGGCCTTCTAGTCTAGCTTTTTATAGCTGATACAGTGTACACAGAGGAGACGGGAGGAATGCAGGGCGGGAGGAGAAAGGCAGTGAAGAAAGCAGCCGAGGTAAAGAGGTATATCTATATGTACTACTGATCTAACTCATAGAAGCATTGTGATTTTCTACCTGTCTCTGCTGGGACGAGGTGTTTTCAAACAGCTCTGCCTAGTTTGAGACTCTTCTTTCTTTTAAAATAAATTGTACGAACTCACTGTAATAATATTGTCTCACAAACAAATGCAGGTCCCAACAAAAAAAAGTCTTAAGTGTTCAAATAAAGATTTGAAAAAGAAACCCCATTACAGCCACGCTCCAGTTCATTCATCCCTCTGTGTAAAGACATCTTAGATCCATCTATAAGGGGATAAAACTCTTAATATCATCTCACAGCAAACCCATTCTCCCTCTGGGAAACAAGAGGGCACCTCAATATGGCTTTTCAGGTCCAGTTACAGTTGTGTTGCTAAGCAGCTGAGCTTCTAGCCAGCGGCGGCAGAAACAAGCCATTATCTGTTACCCCTGAACGGTTAGTGAGCAGGAGTAGAGATGAGTCGGGCATCAGCTGCAGCCATGATCCGTCCTCATCATCGATGCTCCGATGCAGAGCCAAGGTGTTCTTTAGTAGGACTATCTGCCATCAACTTTACAGGCTATCCAACTAAAAAGCTGGCCTGTGATACCCTAACCCTCAGGAACCTGAGGCGCATGTACCAGATTTCAAGTTTCAGTGTGACCCCAACTTGGGAACTTGCTAACCTGGAGGAGGTCAGAGGGAAACCCAGCACTGCTGCCTCCCCCCGCCACCACCAGACCACCTGATATGTTCGCTAGTTACCTCTCTCTAGCTCGTGTCTTGCCTTTCCTCAATCAGTCCTTTAGAATGAATGACTACCGCTCCACTGGTTTCGCTTAGTGCACCCATTGTGCATACCTCTGGTTTTGTTGGAAGGACCTCTTTCCATCTCCTCGGACGTGCAGCGGTGTTGATTATCAGGTATCCGCTTGGATAACATATTAAGGCTGTCCCATTGGGCTAACAGGTCATAGGCTGCCATGGCTCTCACGCATAAGGCCTTTAGGTTTGCATAGGGAGATGCAGTGAATTGTAGGAGTAGTCAGCCTTATCTAATGTTGCTCATTTATTTTTAATGCAGTTAAAGTAGGTGTACATAATGCACAGCAATCCTTTCAATAATATGAGAATATCCATGATGAACTTCTTTCCCTTCAGCATCATAGTAAGAAAATATCTTTGTGTGTGTTTGTGTGTCTCTTCTACATGTAGGCACAGAGAGACATGAGCTGACCTCCTGGATGAGTTTCACCTCCATCTTCAGGTTCTTCAGTGAGGTCCTGGAGGCGAAAGAAGACGAGGAGGCGGAGGAGACCTCCAACACCGTCACCACTCGCAGCAGCTCCCTCAAAAACAAACACCAAGATTTGTAGACAACCATCAACAGTGACTTGGAACTGGAGGAGATGTGGGGTGGGGTGTGGGGGGGTGGCGAGGGATCAGAGGTGGGGTGCAAAAAGGGTCCTATCTGCTATTTTTTCTTTCCTCGCTCTCTGTCTCTGTAACCTCCCACCAGCTCTCCTTTCCCACTCTTTTCCCCGAGTGTCATTTCTCCCTTCCAGCCCTCCCTGGTTTTTGCACACACATAGCCTTCTTGTTGTAAGAGACAAGAGTACAGGGTCACCGTGTATACATCACAATAACGTTTTGCATTACTTCTAGTTGAGCGCAACTGTCAAAGCAATATGGGCCTGAGTGTTAGCGCTTCCCGTGGGCTGTGGCCTGGCTGCGGGTACGGGCCACAGCAGCAGAGATTAAGGCTGACAGGCGCTGTGCACAATGCGCTGTGGTGCACCTCTAATTGTCCTGACATCAGCCTGAACTGAGCTAATGCCCCGCCTGCCCTCCAGTCTGCACTGCTCAGCCTCTCCCTCCTCTCCCTCTTCCCCCCCGGTCCTAACGCCTGGACTGCTTACCCTGAAATTAGCTCATGTGGTACGGTATGTTCTGGTGAGATTCGGTATCATTTCAATCCGGCTAATGCCCATGTTTTTTTCATTTCTTTTAGTTTTCTAATTTTATTTTTTTTTTATGCCATACACACTACAAATTTTAATACGACTGAACACCCTTCACTAGTGATCATTTGTTTTAACAAAGGGTGTTGTTTTTAGGACTTTTCTTTATTATCTGACTCCTCCACACACATGCACACAATCGGCTTTTAAGTCTGACTTTTCTCATTTAGCTCTGTGAAGAACATGGCGCTAACCCGTGCCATGTGTTTCTGGAATTGCAGTTCTTATAATAAGAGAGATTTTTTAGTTTGTTTGTTTTTCAACTTTGAGCTAAATTTGAAGGCAGTGTCTCATACACACATTCAGACTATGTTATTTTTAATATTAAACCAATATCTCTCAGAGCAAGTAAGTGAGTGTTTACTTTCGTACATCTATGGGTTTGATTTGCAAAAGTGTGGAGAGTTCATTTCTCTGTTTATTATAAATATATATCTTTTTTTCCCTTGTTTTTTTTTTTCCAGTGTGATATCCTTGAAATTGATGTCTCTGGATGATTGAATGCGATGAAACAAATAAAACAAACACAACCTGTTCTGAATATGGAAAATTCAGGACACTGAGCATATTTAAAATCACTTAAAGTCAAGCATCAAAATGGGTTTGAGGGATATCTCATTTTAACAGGAGCCAGAAGTCAGCTCACAACACTCATAAAACCTCAATATATCGCCTTACACATGTCAGGAAATCCAAGATTTCAATATTATTCTAAGCCGGAATGATATTTCCTTAGATGTTGGAGAAATGTAACATATCCATTTTTTTTTTTTCTTTCAACCAAAGTACTCTCCTTGTGTACTTAGAAGTGACAAAGTTAGCTCGATGCTCAGCTGCACATAATCTGACTATGTGACACAAACATGGTAATTTTTTTTCCATAAAGCTGATATGTTTTATAAACCACTCGAGGCTTAACGGAATACATTTCTAATGTGTCATGACATTAGTAAAAACTCAAACTGGATACTAAGTCTTATGATACCTTAGAAACGTTCTTAAATATATTCTCTCCTTCTTCTTTTTTTTTTCCTTCAAACAGTTACCATTGTTAAACTTGTACACTGTGAAATCCTGCCTCTTCTGCCCACTGTGTGTATGGTTTAAGGCTTTTGTGGATTATCTTTCTGCTGTAATCAGACAAGTGTGCCTGATGGTTGCAGGCCTAATTTCCTTTTAATTTGATTCAGATCTCTCCAGGTTTCAGCAAAGAAGTTGGCTTATTATTTGATTTGATGAGTTTCATTTCAAGATACCATTGCTCATCTTTCTGCTTTTCAGCTACAATCAGTTCATTTTTCACTCTACAATTTGTATATTGTTGCCTTAGGAATAAACAAGACTCTGCTCACTGTTTTTAATAATATCCAGCAAGCCATATGTGAACAGAACTAACGATGTAAGAGCAGCCTAAATCCAAAGCACAGTCTGCAAATAAAAGGGGACTATTTTTGCCAATTGCTCTTGAAGACGTTATTTTTTGCAGATGGTTTATTTGTTGTAATGGTTTAAGAAACATGCCTATTTTGTTTTATCACAGCACAAGCTTTTCTGGTTTATTCAAAGTATCCTGCCAGGTCACATATTTTGCTTATATTCTCACATGTTTTTCTCCTTCTCTTTTGATCCATTTCGGGTTTTAAACGACTGTCTTTAAAAATGATTTTTTAACGCTTCTGCAGCACAGTAATTACTTTAACATGATTTCATTTTTTGTAATCAACCCATTAAAGCAAATAAAACGAACCTTGCATCTTGATTTTGATATTTTTCTATTTCATTTAGTTTTTATTCATTTATTTATTTATTTATTTATTTATTTATGTGGGATTTTCTTGCTAAACATCAGAACTTTTTTTTTCCTCACATCGCGGGCGCAGGACGACGCGCCTTATAGATATATTTAGAAATACAAAAGCAGCATCGGCCACCTGTTAAGGATCTTTTTTCGGGTTTCTAAAGTGTTAAAACAACTAATTACACTATATTTCAGTGTTGTTGTTTTTTTAAGTGAAGCACTAGATAAAACTTTCAAGGGTTGGATTTTTTTAAACCTCCAGATATTCTGAGACAGAACCGGATCTTTAGATTGATTATATCGGCAGCAAGAAGCGTGTCAAAAGGAAAACAAACTATAAACTGTAATACCCCTCTTTTTGGTCATTAATTTAGGCAAACTGAGCCCCCTCCAACCCAGCGAGGTTTTACGGCATCATTTGTTTTCACACGGTGAAACCGATCAGGTCATTAAACGCCCCCTCAATAAATCTTTAGAAATCTTTTCCATTAACCCCCGAACAACAAGTGGAACCAGGCGAGTTCCCCTCACACAGTGTCAGGCCGCAGATTAAAGAGAGGCATTCAATCACACACACAATCACACAGGCACACACAAGTGAATTAGGCTCGACTTTCTGTCTTTTAACGTGTTTGGAACTTCCTTGGGATATATATGCAACTTCGCAGCTTCTGTGATACAGGAGAGGAGGTGTGTGTGGGGGGGGGATCTCTCCTCTTTTTTTTTCTTGTAATAGTTAGAATTTGCAGAGTTTAATTAAATAACCTGCCTTCTGTCCAAAGCTAGTAATGTAAGTGGCCGCCTATCATAAATTATGACCTGCAGTCAGTTATCATCAAAGGCAGACGACTAATAGGCTGCGCTGCGGAATGCATTATATTTTCGGCCAGGAATTAATGTATGCCTTAAGACTTCTGCACAATCTGTTAAGTGCATTTCAGAGATTATAGTATGAGAAGTTGTGGGGAAGCAAGTTGAGACGATCGTACCCCCCACCGCTTCTGTATGTGAGCATCTGCAGCTGCATCAAGTCGCTTTCTGAAGGCCCTGGTGATCTCTTCATGTCTCAGGACCTTCCAAGAAGAGAGCCCCCTCCTCCCCCCAAAAAACAAAACAACAAAAAAAAACATGGAGAAAGTCTGATTCACTAGATAGAAGTTAGCCCAGCGTGTGAATGTATAATAGGTATGTCTGATTTGATTATAGGTTTCACTCTCCCAGCTATTGTCGTCAGTTCATGGTACAGACAGTAACAGACAGCTCCACACTGAATCATATCTACAACGGAAAATAACAGCTGCGGAGCTTTAGGATGAAATCCTGCCAAATGGGGGGTCTGTGCTGTAATGTCAGCTTTGGGGAGGAGTGGTAGGGGTGTGGACCATGACATTAAAAAAAAAAAAAAAAGTTGGGGATCCCCTGTGCTGCCACACAGCCTGATATTTCAATTTTTACTTAAAGAGAGTTGTTGTCACGCTTGCTTGCTCCTGCCCACTCTGATATGCACGCCATCCCTGCAGAAGATGAACTCTTTTCCAAAGGAACCAGGCATTAGGCAAAGTTGGAATGTCACCCCTCTGACAGCCCCCCTCACACACACACACACATACACACACACACACTCAGTCTCCTTCAGCACTCTCCAGCGGATCACTGTCAGATCACTATTTGCATAATTATATGCTCAGCTCAGAGGAGAAAACTAACCCCCAAATTTTACGGGTCAACTAACTGCAACAATCAATGTTTTATCGGGTATACTAAGGGAGAAATATCTTTAACAATCATAGTGGAGGGACTCTCTTTCTCTCCCTTCTCGCCTCTTCTTTTATCAATTCATTTCAATTACATTATTGGCATGACTGCTTATCAGAAACAATATTTCCAAAGCAGTTTAAAAAATGTAAATTCACCCCCCACCCTCGCCTCAAAAAAAGAACCTCTCTCTCTCTCTCTTTCTTTCTTTCTTTCTCCCTCCTTCCCTCCCTCTCTCTTTCTCTCTCAGTGCGTGAGCAAATACTTTTTTATCTATTGACTGGGAGAATGTCTGGCTTAAGCTTGAAGGTGCATTCAAGATTGTATCCCTTCTCCCCTTTTTCCTCTATTCTGCCCCCTCCTTTTTCTTCTCTGCCCGACTCTTTACTGTGTTTTTCCTCAGCAGAAGAGGTCTTTAATATAAGCTCTGTATACCAGAGAGGCGCAGGACTCAGTGGCCGGTTTCGTTAGACATCATTACATATTCATTGACTTGCAGAGAAACCGTTTAATCCAATGGAGGAGACTCCTCTTCAATCGCCTCTCTGGACTCGCAGACTGAAACAAACACTTGGGGCCACGGACATTAAATTTAGGAGAAGAGTTTCACAGGGCGAAAAGAAGGTGCAGCAACGCTGAAGTCTGGTCTCAGGTGTTGCACTGAAGTGGGAGCACAAAGTGGGATGCTGGGCTTCTTAAGGCTCCACACAAACATGCACATGTGCACTTTAATTTCTCTTCATCCACATTTTAATCATGCAGAAAAAAAAATAACCTCAAAGCAAAAAAACTTGTGGGAAAAACTTGTGCAATGATCTCCCAACATGCACACACAGAATAACCTGCTGTTCTTCTGCCTCACCTGTCTTGTGGTTCTTATATTGTTTTTAAAATAAAAAATATATAAAAGAAGCACTACTATAACTATAATATGTGGAAATATGCAAAGCTGTCCCAGCAAAATTGCAATTCCCCAGGTTATTAGCTATGAGAAAAATCAGGGCATGTAAAGAAGTGAAAAATGCCTGCAGAGACCACAAAAAAAAAAAAAACATGACCAAGAAACACGCTGAAGTCCCCCCATAGGAATACAACATTATCGGGATATTCTTGTGGTTATTCGTTGGTATTTTCTTGGCTTTGCTGTCTAATACTTTTAAGTAAGCACTACATCAGCAGCGTGGCCCTAATGTGTGTGTGGTGCGTTCTGGAGGATCCTGGCATATAATACTCCGATTGTGGGACAGCTGTTGGCAGAGCCGTTTTACGGTGTTCAGTCCATTTGGCTTTAATAGCAGCTTTCAGGCGGACCGCTACTCTATCCCCTCACCGCCCCCTCAATTACACCTCCTCTGATACTTTGCTGGCCTAAAGACTCCTGCAGTAAAAAAANCCTCCTCTGATACTTTGCTGGCCTAAAGACTCCTCCTGAAAAAAAAAAAAAAAAAAAAAAAAAACACCCTCTGAAATGCAATACATTTGAAGAATGGGCACTGACTTTTAAGATTTGGGGCTATAGGCTACTCTCTGATGATTCCAGGGAGGCGATGTTAGGCGAGCAGCGGTGATGGAGGGAGGAGAGGAAGTGTAACACAGCTCACTGGCCTACTTTAACAGGCCACCGACGACTTAGTGGGGAAAAATTGGTCATTTAGTCTTGATGAATGGCAGCCGAGATGAAGGGGCTGTAGGTAGGCCCTGTGATCGGGGCCCTTCTCAGGCGCTAAACAGCGACTGGATGTGCGAGAACTGCGCAGCGCTGATGTGCGTTATTTAGCGCTCCAATTTGTCAAGTTTCAAATATATTGATCAAATAAGGCCAACTGGAAACACACACGTGTGTGTGTTTCATGATGTTTGACGTCGTGTCTGCCAGTATTTCTTCTGTGCACACAAAGGAAGCTGACAGGAGACTACATTTACTGCTTCTACAGATTTTATTTGCCATTTAAAATTAAAATAAAAAAGTTTATCTACTGTGTGTGTCCTTTATTTTGCAACCAGATGACTACAAGGCCGTTTTTATCTTGTCGATTTAAACACTAAAGGTGTTATTAAAGTTCTAACAAAGCACCAATAATCTATTATAAATTATTTTGGGGGCTTTTTTTTTTAACGTGTAAGTCTTTTATTTAAACCTATACTTATATTTACCATAATACCGATCTAATATGCTGAACTAAAATATTAAAATAAGGAATACAATATTATAAAAATGTACACAAGACAATACAAATGTAATATAAAATAGATTTATGATCTGAACAGGTAATGAGCTGAGGTACAATTTAAAAGTAAATATATATATTTAATGGTTTCAAATCCTTCTGGTTTGTCTGATATCATAAGAAACTTTGAAAGAATACTTTATAAAATACAGTCATACACAATATAAATATAAATCGAAAAAGGAGGTGGTTATTGTTAAGAAGGTAAAACCGAATAATATTAAGTTAAAATAAAACTGTTTTGATAGAGAAAGCAGAATGTTCATATCGGAAAGTGGCTCATAGTCTATTCAGCAGAACACAAAAGATGAGTTTTCCTTCCAAACCTTCGCATTAGCACCAATAACAACTCCAGTATTCATCGATCAGCAAGAATTAAGTCTGATTTTAAGCGGTAATAAATCGAAGGAGGTCGGCTTTATATGAAACAATATTTTCTCGCACTTAAAGCAACGAAATAATGAGGTATTTCCACAAATCCGTAAAGTACAACCCTCCCCAAATCAATACCGCGCTGCACGTGGTGAAGCATCGATTAGCTCCAAAGGCCTTGACTTAGACTGCAAAAAAAGAATAGTCTTTTAACGAATCATCAGCCACATGCTCATCTCCAAATTTATTTATTTTTTTCTGAAAACGCTAAAAGTGATCACAGCTGCCTGGATCATGCCTGATTATTTCCGGTTCAATTTCAGTTAATATTGTTCATTTTGATATTGTTGAAATTCTGTAAAATAAGAAAATAATATGAGGGAAATATTGTTAATACAGATTATTTATTTTAAAAAGTTGCTTAAAGTCAAATTTTGTATATTTTAAGAGAAACAAACATTTCAAAAATAATCCCAAACAGATTAAAAACTTTGATAAAACATATATATTTGTAGTGTACCTCCTGCTCTAAACAACATCCCACTGTCTGCTCTCTTTTGGGTTTAAAATCTCAGAGAGAAGAAAAAAAAAAA